CCCCCTTCTATCCCCCCGGGCACCTCAGGCTGAGGCAGGCAGTGAGTTCTTCCCATGCAGCAGCCTTTCAGCAGGAGGTGGGTGATGTTCATGGCAACCTGTCACAGGCAGGTCTGAGCTGAGGCCTTCTGAAGTGGAAACCTTTGAAATAGGGTCTGAGAGCTAATAAAGTGGAGCTGTTTGATCTATAATGTGATGAGTGGCTGCCGTGGGCTGTTCTCCCCTTGGAGAAGCTGCATGAAAAGCCAATTGCACCACTGACTGCTGGTTAAGTAATTCATGGGTTTCTCCTAGAAGTCCTACAAAGATGATCAGAAAGTTGTATTATGGCCTTGTGCAAAAATGATCTGCTAGGAGGAAGTCTAAAATTGAAATGTCTTGGAAATAAATCTCTGAGATGTGTTTCTAATACACCTTGAACTTTCAGGTAAATCATTCTGATCCTCTGTTTATTAATAATGGTTGAGATAGAAGATGTAGCAAACTTTATAGCAAAAGTGTATCACAGAAGTTTTTCAGAATAAAAAAGAAATGTTTGTTGGTTAAGACGTTAGGGCAAAAGTATGTTTTAATCAGCTATAGTGGCTTGAATTACAGCCAAAAGTGACATGAGTTGGTCTCTCAAGATCTGACAGGCCCTTGATGTGTGGCTTAACATGGCAGTGACTGGAGGGGATCAAGAATCCCAAGTGCAGGTGGTTTTATGGCAATGAGCAGGCTGGTTCAGTTATGGAGTTGGAGGGGTCCATCTTAATCAACAGCTTGTGTGACAAAAGTCATGATTTTTAGGAAAGTGCTGCAGTGTTTAAGATGGAATCACAGGCACACTGGGCTCTGAGGCTCCAGAAGGTGCAGAAGAGATGAGACTTGCAGGCTGCCAGCTCTGAGCAGAAGCCCTCCTCATGCTGAGCACAGTTAGTGTGTGCCATGAAAACATCCAAGCTGTGTGTTTAAACTCCCTGCTGTGAGCATCTGTCCATGCGCAGAGCTGGTGGTGTGATGGGGAAAGGGGGCCTTGGAGCCACATTCATAAATGTCATTTGGGAGGGGACACTGGAATGACTCCTGATGCAGTTTCCTGATGTGCCTGGTCAGTTTATGTCACACAGGGAAAACAAAACTGCTGTTTAGGTTTTATTCAGTTGCTGTGCCTGAGAAAAGGTAGTAAAGGACTCGCTGAGATGGCAGTGCTGTGTCACTGTCAGCTGTCATGGGGTTTATCAATTCTTCTAAGAACAGCACAGCAAACCACTGTGGTTTTGGCACAAGTCTTGGCTGCCCAGAAAACAGGGGAGTGATCTAACACCTTCTGTGTCCTGGAGGCTCTGCTAGCTTAGAGAAGTGCTTTGATGGTAATTAATACTGGTGCACCAGAGAGAATGGGTGGGAAAGAGGAGGAGGAGGATGAAGGCTGGTTGCTTACAGAGCAATGTATATCTGAGCTTGCCACCTACTCAGGGTATGGCAGAACTGCTGCATAATACCACAGGGAATCACTTGAGGAGCAAGATCTCATTTAGCATGGAGGGGAAGGGGTGGTGTTTCACACAATGAAGACTGTGCATCTCCCTGAAGGGGCTTATGTGTGGAACAAGGCAAACCCACAGCCAGAGGGGCTGTGGGTGCCTGTGCCAGGCTGCTGTGAATTGTGGATGACATGGCTGCTGCTTGTAGACACGAGCAGCAAACTACAGCTCCTGGGTGCCCCCAACTTCAGCATTACAGGAGTAGCCTCAACTCTGATTGTCTTTAGAAATTACAGGTGTTGCACATTCCCATGGTTAGGACAGAGTGAAGAGGCCAGTAACTACCATGACTGGAAAGTTCTAAATTCCATTGAAGTTTTTATTCATTGGATCTCAGAGAGAATAGTTTAATATACAGACAGAAGTTTCATGTCTTCTCCACGTAACAGCATCTTTCTTTAAACCCAGGATAACTGAGCTGAGCAGCTCAAACCCGTGTCCATATGCTTGCTTTGTGCTGGATGCAGGAGTCCTGTGGCTACCTCAAGACTTGCTGTATTTTCAGTATAGGAATTTGTGTGCAACTGCTGTACAGGGCAGCATAATTGGATTTACTGAACTGTATTTTGTCATCTTGCCCTGGTTTAGCCTTCCTTCTACTGTAATCCAAAGTTACCCAGATTTAAAAAAAAAAAAAAAAAAAGTTTCTTTGAGTGAATCTGAACCAGCAGAATGCTGAGCCTGACTTTATTGCAGGCAGGAAATCCCACCTTTGGTGTGTGCCAGCACCTAAGAAAAGGGGAAGAGGGAAGTGTTATTTGCAGGGTATGTGACCCTTTTTTGGGATCTAAAGGCCTTTTTAGGATTTTGCCTCGTGCTCATGCCTGGAGCAAGAAAGGGTCTTTTGTTGTAACTGTAACAAGAGTACACACAGGCTTTTTACAGCGTTACAAATAAATGTGCTGGAACCTATAGCCCAAAGTGAAGATGAATTCAGGGCCCTGAAAGCAGTGGCAGCTCCAGTTTCTTTCACCTGATTGTACCAAGGATTTGGGTCACAAAAGAGAAGGATAATTTACAGCTTAGCAAATGGGAAAAACTCTTTCTAGCTGACTTGCTGGAACTCAACCCTGCAGCAAACCACTAAAGTCAGCATTATGTCGTGAGCAATTAAGTGAGATGACACTTCTTGCAGAAAGAGGGGTGCTGTTTTGGGCAGGTTTATAGATGCAGCAGTTCTTTGCACGTGGAAGTTACAGGCTGACTTGTTAGTTGCTTGACATCAGTCAGGCTTGGACACCAGTCAGTCAGTATTTTTTTCCTGCTTCCTCTGTAATCAAAGACACTTTTCCAAGGTGATGCTGATTGCAGCAAGATAAACTGGACATCTTGCTTGTTAAGCAGATGGTTCCTTCTGCATGGATCCCTTCAGTGCTGTGCCAGCAGGGGATCGGGCAGTCAAACAGTGCTGGGGAGGGCCTGAGATGAAGGAGCTTTCTGCTGCAGATTTCAGTGTGTGCATTCAGCTGCAGATTCATAGTGAGAGGCACTGCAGGTTGCCCCGGAAAAGTAGATGGACTTGGGTATTTCTTGGTTTGCAGGGGGTGAGGGCAGTACGGGGGCCACAAATCACAGCTTCCCTGTTCTTCCAAGTGAGATACTCTGTAACTGCCTGGGCAAATTACCTTAGCTACAGCAGGACAGGAGTAAAACTGAGCAGGAGATGCCAGGCATTTTCACAATGGGGAAAGAAGGATGTGCCAACATCCTTCACCAGCCTAGGCCCAGTGCCGTGTGGCTTCTCCCATGTCCCACTCCCATATGTGCCCCTCTCCCATTCCTGCAAGGCCACAGGATGCCCGCCAGCTCCTGGAGTGGGCCCAGCTCATTTTGAACTGCCACTGACCTGCAGTTGCCAGGCTGCTGCTGAAGAGCTGTCAGCCTTCTCAGCACCTCAGAGATGATAATCCCGAGGGAGCTTTTGGAATGACCTCCTAGTGAGCCAGCTAACATCAGGCCTGAGCACAGACAGGCATTACGCTAATACAGTAGGTAAGACTGATTTCAGTTTCAGTTAAGTGTTAATGATGTTTTCTTAAGCGACTCTCTTCAGTTCTTTGTGGATCTTACTTGCTAAATATTTGATACAGCTCTACATTTTAAGTGATGCATGGTTTTGTTGGGTTTGGTACAGCTGTCTCTGAGTGTAGCTCTTTGTGCTTAACTGACTTGTTTGCAGTACACCAGCAGACTGGGCGGGCTGCACCCTGGCCTGTCAAGGGCAGAAGTCTCACATCAAGTCCCAGTCCAGTTATCATACATTCTAAGCTGTGGGATTTCATATATCTCATTTCATTAACAGCAATCTCAATTATAGTCAGCTCATAACAGTTTATAATCCCTTCTCAAGTCTGAATTTGATTAATGACCTCTGCACTCAGATTTCAATTCAGCATCTCAAGACCAGAAAAACACTTCCAAGAAAAGTAAGACTATATGTTCACTGACTTCTCTTCTAGAGTACAGCTGAGTTCTTTAACTCCAGGCAACTGGACATATGTGTATATTTCAGTAAATCTTACCATGAGTTACAACCTCAAGCAAACAACACCAGCCACACAATTCTCATGGTATCCCCAACTTCTGCCCTCAGTGGCTCCAGACAAGGAAATTGCTTGGATTTACTTGGGACCTCCATGGACAAACTGGGACCACAGGAATTTTAATGTTTAACAACACAGTGAAATGAGAGGGGTGGAGAGAACTTTGAAAGATCCTTACTTGTTTTTTGTGTGTGTAATTTATCTTTTAAGAAAATAAATATCTAATTAGCTAATTAGTATTATTTTTCTAATTAGCTAAATCGTAGGTATTGTCCAGATTTCTTTTTGGAGTGAAACTTGCCTTCATGGTTGATCACAGTCATCACAGCCTTCTCTGGGCTTTTCTGGTACTGCTTCCAAGGCAGACCCCCCAGAGGTACTTGTGTGCAGCAGCCCTTGTAAATTGCAATCTGGTAATGCTTTATTCACTTTCACCTCTGTGAAGGAATGCATTCTGCTTGTTCCAGCATAAATCTGCTTTATGTTTGCATCTCCAAGTCGTCTCTGCTAACCCTGCAGCCTTCGGGAGCCTGTCTCTTCTTTCTGCTGAGTGCGTTACCTGACTCAGGCACAGTGGAGCTCACTGGTTTGGCATCCCAGGCTTGAGGAACCCCTTGAAGGCAGTTTGCCCACTGTAACCAACCCACCCAACCAATCATTAGGCCATAATTCCTGTTTACAGAGATAAGTCTTTATTGGAGCTATTGGAAGCAAATGGGACATGGTTCTGGTTTTATATACAGAGAAGTCTGTAGTGTTGGGTTACAACCAGTGGAAATGACCCGAGATTACAGTGCAGATTGTGTTGTGTACAGTCAGTAACAGTGGCTGGCGTACAAACCACAGCACAGAAGCCAAATGAAGCCAAGTGTACGGGGTACAGCAGCACAGGAGGAAGCAACTGAAGGTACAAAGAGCGTTCCCTTTACATTTGCAGGCTTTTTTGGCCAGTGAGTAGATACAGCTCAATTTAAAATTCACTGTGCAGTTATTTTTCTTCCCACTCAACTGCTACCAAATTAAGAAAATTCAAATGTTCAAATTATATTTTTAGTGCTATAAATAGCCATGGTTGTTGCCAAATTACTTTATTTGAAATTGCTTTATTTATAGTTTTGAATAGTTCAGTTATCATTGTTCTCTACTGATTACAAATTGGGAGAAAACTGAAGTATTTTGAAAGTAGTCTGTAATTAGACCACAAGGATCTCTTGTACTTCATTTGGAAGTTTAATTCTGGGTAACTTCTTTGAGAGAGATTTATTGGGAAGAAAGATGGAATCATCCACCATATTACTTATTTGTGGAATTTGTTCATAGTATTTAAGGTTTAGATAGTTTATAGGTCATACTTCTTTTTATTCAATGCCATGTCCAATCTTAGTTCAGAAATAAACACTCCATCCTCTGTGGATAAATAAACCCATCTCTTGGCTGCAGGTCAGACCTCTATTGGTGAAAGAGATTTAGAAAAATAGACATTTTCTTTAACGTTTTATACGCTGACTCACAAAGGAAAAGTGAAATTCATTCAAGTCTAGAAACAAATACAGTACAAGTGATTTATAGAATTTCATTCCTTCGCTCTACAAACTTGCTGAGCATGAAACACTGCCCCAAAGCACTGCCTCTGTCTTTGCCTTGTCTTGGAGAAGTAATTATCATCAGAAAAGTCACATCAGAGTGCACTGCCAGATTTCCTGTCTGAAGGGCTCTGCCTCCTGACAAGTCTTTGCCTAAGAATTCTTTAGATGCATGGTCGTTTGGGTTACACAAAGGTGCTATTTTAGCCCAAAATCAGCAGCAATTTTAATTGATTTCATTGATGGTGATTTTTTGTTGGTGTAAATTCAACCATTAAAGAAAAGCTTGTGAGTTGGCCTTGGAAAGCACCAGCCTTTCCTCAAAATCTTCACTTCTGAGACTGCTTCCCATTGATGCCCTTCTAAGCAAGGGGCTGGTACATTTGGCAGTACATGTTTCATGCTCAACTTTGTCACTAAGAACTGGACAGGACTTAAAAAAGCATACAGCCCACTGGGACTTGCTCTGCTGTCGTACTTCAGTGCTTTGGAGAGCCCCCACCCCCAGCAGTGTTGCTCTCTGAGAAGTGCAAGTGTCCCAGCCTGGCTCTGGGGCAGCTGGAGGACGGTGACATTCCGGACTGGAAGCAGTAGTTAAGCACCAGTTACTGGCCCCTGCAGAGGCTCAAGAGAACAGAATTGCTTCGTAGAGAGCTGGTCGGCCTAAAAAGCTTAGTCAGTTTGATCAATAAATATTGACTTAGGGTTAGGATGAGAAATAAGACACTGCACCTTGGAACTGGAAGACAGAGTCAACTTCCTCCTTTTTCTGTCCAAAAGGAGACTGGCTCCAAAACATTTGTCCTTAAGGACCTCTGTGATGCCTGACAGATAACTCATTATGCATGTATGAATGTACCTGTCCCCTTTTGCAGGGAGGGATAAATGTATGACTGGACAAAGCTTGGAGGCCTTTTTTCTGTGATTTTTTTTTCAACCATCTGCTCGGTGTCATGTTGTCCCTGAAGGCATGGTTACCCACTCCTAAATTATGCAGCATTGCCCAGAGAATGGCTCTGTAGTTGAATATGCTCTCTGCAGTACAGCCTCCCTTTTCTTCCAGTGTATGTGGATTTCCATGCAATAGATGTTATTAGAAAACTACACTTGTATTTATCTTGTTACTTTGAACAGGGAAACAGTGATATTGAGTTTAAAAATACAGGAAAGAATCTGTACTGCAAATCAGAATTTTCATAATTAAATTCATAGGATCACTAACTTTTCAAAAGCTGTACTGCTCTGAATGCTGTGCTTTAGCCCACCGTTATTCTCCTTTGAGCAGAATGACATTCCATCTGCTTAGAAACAGTTCTTTGTGAAAATAATGATAGAAGAATAAATACTGTCTCTCTTACCCTGACTTTGTTACTTTACAGGACACCCTTACAAGACTCACATTCTGTTGGGAGTGCAGCAATACACACATTTCGATATGCATAGATCATTAAATTGTAGCAGTGCCAATAGTAAAGCAAAACTTGCCAAGATGTCCTGTTCCTCTTAATTAAGCTTGATTTATGTGTGCCTGTTGACTTAAGATGCAGTTAGTGTCCACTGCTGAGATGATGCAGTACCCTGAGTAACTTTGTATTGATTACGCTTACACAAGCTTGTGCTTTTGCAAGAACACAGAAATGAAGCTCGAAGAAAATAAGTACATCAGGTTGTTTCCATGGAACACTGTTTATCTATTCATAGCAGCTTCAAAGTATGAAGTTAAAACTTACCTTCTGCTCTACTCCCTTCGAAACAGATGAGTGCTATGATTAACTCCCCTTTAGCTTAAAAAATAGAAGTGGATAGAATGTCAAAATACACTTTGCTGGTAAGATGAACCTACTTTGTCATAAGGAGTTACACCAGTACTGGCGACCTGAAATGTGTACATTGCACAGGTCACTGTGGGAGCAGTACCTGCTTTCCCTTGTTGCCATGCTCCTCTGTGTAAAAGCAGCTTGTCTAGAATACTGTGGGCATTGCACAAACAACTAACTACTATTACTTTGGAGGAAATTACTATTATTCCTCCCTCCCAGAATTCAACTGCATGCTCTGTACACTGCCTGGAACTATCTCTCTGTTTTGGGTAGGGCTGCATCAGGAAACAAAATTTGCCCATTGTATTTCTTGCATTCCTCCTCTGGAAAACCAGCAGTCCTGGACTTACTGAACAGAAAAAATAAATTCTCCTGTAGCAACATCATTAGCAGCTTTTAGCCTGCTGTATGGATAGCTTAAACCTCTTACCTAATTTCTCACTAACTATTAAAAAAACAATCCCAGCTCCCCCTGCTCACAGTACACAAGGCTGCTGGCTTTCCCCAGCACACATAAACCTCCTGGTTTTACCACAGACTCTCTTAATGGACTTGGAAAAGGCAGTGCTACTTTCCCTCCAACTTCCAGCTATGATGCTTTACCTCTAAAACTGGAGAAGGATATTCTACTTCCATTGTTATCTTTTCTCTCTCTTGCCTCAGTGTATTCTGCCAGAAGCAGATGCATTCAGAAATCCTGTGTTCAAGCTGATGCTGCACTACACCTCATGAACTGCTTTGCAGCATAAGGCAGCTGGAGCTTCTAGATCCTGGTTAGAGGTATAAATGAGGCTCAAGTTTAATTAAAAATTAACTGCAGCTCTTACTCATTCCAACTCTACTAACCAATGAAGGATAGCCAGTTACATTCAATTAATGCCTTTTAAAATGAAGTGTTATTTATTCTAGTAGAGATAACAGTCCAGTGGTTTTCACAAACATGCAGTTCTGGCTGGTGCAAAAACATTTTGAAGTCGTTTACTTACACAGCAGAGAAGAGACTGCAGCTTTAGTTATCTTACTGCCCCAAACCTTTGAAACTAGAA